CTTGGTACAGTTGTAAGAATTGAATCGTCTGCGCAAAAGAGCAGTGAGGACGAGAGAGATTTATAGGTTCGTCTATAGGTAAAGTGATTATCGTGAGATAACTATTCAACTATTGTGGCAAATCTAAACTTTGTAGAAGGGCATATTAGGAATAGGTCATTACATTTTGATGAAAGAATACAAATTGAACATTTCCCAAAATAATTTTGGTATGCCTTACGATTCCATTGAATTTCATTAAGTCTTGCTTCTCAAAAAGGTGCTGTAATCGAGAGTGTACCGTAGTTTCAACCTGGCCTAGGTTTCATCAGAACCCCCAGCGTGAATCAAGCTCAGATAACACGGTGCATAATTCCGACATGGTAACATTACACATCACTTTAATAAGTTCCAATTGGTCACAGAGCAGTAGTGAATTTCAAGTCAAGTAAGGCCTCTTACATATCACATTACTAAAGGGATTTTCGATAAGGCAATCTTATACTTGTCATTGCAATTGACAACGTTAGTTATATTCATATTAGGTATATTACACTAAAACTATTAGAAATGGAATACGAACTGTAAGCAGTAATATAGATATATACCCAAAATAAATATAATGTGACTCGACCAAAGTAGTTAATAGAGGTTGTTTGACCTTTTGTTCGTAACTTGGTCATATTGGTAAGAAGACTTAGCAGAACGCACTAAGTCCGGAGTCCATTGTATGCATGATCGTTTCCAAAGTCGGACCATGGACGTTGTACATTCCCAGACGTTTCGTCAGCACCGTATTCGGCATCGTCAGTGAGTTTTGCCATTCTTAGCACCATAATACAACTCGTCAAAACGACAAGTGAAGCCGATCCTTTGACCAAACGTGTGCTAAATAGCTGTGCTAAGTTTTCGCCTGTAATGTAACAGAAATCCTCAGAGAAGGTCTCGATCCTTCACGAAATAGAGCAAAAATATACTAAACCAAGAGAAAAGGAGGCTGACTGAAACCCTAGTCGCTTTCATATTCACCTAACTTCGCGATCTTAATGAGGCATCCTATGATTTGTGTCTAGCAGATGTAAACTACAAGGACCAGGGAATAGGTAGATTAAGGCATATACTGTTTCATAACCACTACATATTAAGTGTCAGTTACAAGATGAGGGGAACTTGCTATCTGGGTTGGGATATAAAATGGGATTATTAAACTCATTTCCTGATTTTGCCTCTCCGCCAGCTTGCGAAGAAGTTGGGTGATCTACTGGGGAAGTGGAATATAAAAACAATGTATAAAGAGAAATAAACACTTTCCCCAATAGTTCCTTCGTTAAGAGAATTTTCAGACCGTCGTTTTATATCAGGATGTCATAATGTTTTGCACTCATGTGTGGGGAAGACCTGCCGACCGACTATGTGAACATAAAACCGCCCAAAAATCTGGGCTCACTGAACACATTGCTAACACAGGACGCAACGTATTGTGAACTTCACATCAAAGCGTAAGATCATGTAGTCTCTAGAAATAAACAAAACAGCAGACATCTTGAATAGGAGGAACGAGGAAAGGGAGGAAGAGGGAGCGCAGGAAGATTCACTGAACGAGATAAAAGGACTGAATTAGCCTCGAATCTAGCTAGGATTATCACACTTCGCATGACACGAGGATTACATACACATAATAGACAATAGCACGAGCCCAGTCATGATTCACTATTAGAGGATCGTACACGAGTGGTTAACGTGTCAAGCTCACATTCTGCACTGTCACGGTTCGACTTCCGATGGGAGTTTTGATAAGACCTAAGCGAGATCGAAACTGCGGTTCTCTAGTGCCTTAATGAGAACAACTTTTGGGAAATCAAGGCTCTGTGAAATTCAATGGAAACGCCAACTCTACTCATATCATTGTGGCAAAATTCTACTACCGGTCGTTCATCACCTTAAACGAAATAGGGTAAATACATCTCACACTATTTCAAAAAAAGACGACTCATCTCCTCTCATTGAAGGTTCTAACCTTATTCCCACTCGTCCAACATGCTAGATTAATCTTTGGGTGGCTAAACCTTAATGACCCTAGACTGAGAGATTAGGACAGGTGGTTTCATACCCTTACGAGCGTACAAGCTTATAATTCATTAGCCTGAGTTGTTTATGGACATACGCGGTCTCGGTCAGGGCTTATTTCATGAGTCATAAAGCCTTGATGACCACAGCCTGATATTAGGTTTTTTGATAACTCTGATTTAGGACTGGTATTGTGTATAGACATTAACGCACACACACACACACTCGAGCAAAAGTAGTGGGATCAATAGTAAAGGTAATAAACAAAACCATTCTATATCGATCTATGCCTATTCATTTTCAATTTTTAATTATGACTGTATATAAGAGATAAGATTGAACTCGATAGTCTCCTTGACCTTGTGTTAACATGATAGTTTTGTAAGAATGAGTTCCTGCTTTGATGATCTCCTTAACATGATGGTTGGAAGCTCGGTCCGTTTTTACATGAATCGAGGGAGGATGTCTCGTGGAATGCGCTAACCTGAAGCTCGTAGTATAGCCAAACGGCTGCAGAATAACGTGAATCGGCCGTTTTCCTCTAGTGATATCAACCTTCGAATCTCTTCTTCATGCACTTTCCCAAGAAATGAAAGTCTACCCGACAAGAAGGGTGCCTGGATTTTCTAATCTTCAGCTTAATGTTGTGATCTCCATATCCAGCTAAGCGTTTGGCTTTAGACTACTCTATCTAGTGCACTGTGTGAGTTGTGCCCTGCCAGTTCTGACCTTTGAACCCAAAAACCTTTGCATACTGATTTATATCCAGATTATCCTCTTCAACTTCCAGTGAGACTAATTCACGAATCCCTCCCACTTGCCTATTCAAACGAAATGAAATGTACTCCAGCATCAATCAGTTAAAAAATTTAGCAAAAACTAGTTTTTCTAATTACTTACAAAAATATATAAT